GGCTGGGAGCTTGGAGAGGCAGGGCTGTAAGCCGAAGCTCACAGATTCTGGAGCTAGTTTGCCTGGGATCAGGACTTCTCAGTGTCTTTGTCAAATAACGTAGTGCATCATGGGATCAGTCAGGGGAGGAGAGGGGAGGGATATGTAAGTGCTGAGACCAGTGCCTGCCATATTCCCAGCACTGCGGGGACATGTGATCTCTGTGGTATCGCCTCAGGTGTACCTCGAACAAAAGTGAGGCCGTGTTCCCCCTTCTGTTTTAAAAATACTTCCATCTGAGGGGCGCCTGGGTGGCTCAGTTGGTTAAGCGACTGCCTTCGGCTCAGGTCATGATCCCGGGGTCCTGGGATCGAGCCCCACATCGGGCTCCCTGCTCAGCAGGGAGTCTGCTTCTCCCTCTGACCCTCCTCCATCTCATGCTCTCTGTCTCTCATTCTCTCTCTCGCAAATAAATAAAATCTTAAAAAAAAAAAATACTTCCATTTGATTCAAATCCAACATTTGGAAGGCAGACAGCCGGGTTCATTCGTCAAGCAGTGATCCCTGCAGTGCATAGCCGATAAGAAAGTAGGAAGGTTTTCATAATCTTTCCCTTTTTATCCTCATTCCTTCCATCGGAGCCCTTTCTTGAGCATCTGTGGGATGTGGGGTTCTATACGCAGAGCATGAGAAATGGCCCCCGGTCTCAAAGGCTTCCCGCCTGGCTGGGACAACAGGACGCGCGCAGAAGTAGGCTTCCCTAAATGCCAAACATAGGATGGGGATGCGTTGTAAGTGCTGAGGAACAGAAAGAGCTCTCCCTGATGCTGCGGAAGGACTCGGTGCCCTTTCAGACAGAGGGAGGATGAGATCATTCAAGGAACATAGTGAGTTGGGGACCGGGAGGCAGAACAGAGAGCAGAATTAGGGTGCATGGGGATGGGGGTGGCCAGGTGACAAAATGCAGAGGAGACCTTCCCAGGGAGACTTACTCTGGTGTGAATATCTAAGGAGAGAAAGGTAAAAATAAGTAAACATGTTTATAATATTTTCTTACCCCCCAACGTGGTAAGGAACACTTCTTTCCTAATTTTAACGTTCGAGCTAAAATCAGAGACCACCTCTTTCATTTTAGGTAATGTTTAACTTAATCACTTAATCTGAATTAATGCAGACAACAATGGTGACAAAAGGTAATTACATTTAAGTGGAATTCAAGCTTAAAAATTCTTTTGGAAATATCTGTGAGTCACCTGGTTCAACGTAAATATCCATAAAACATGTACTAATTGTTCCAGAGGAAATAATTGTTGCAGAAGGGCAAAAGGCCAAGTGAGCTGAAATACCAGGTTCTTAATTTATAAAGTCAATAAAAGCACTCTTTTGTAAGTTCTTCTCAAGTCGTAGCCTATTATCAGGTAAGTCTGGCACTAAAATCACTTTATGCTTAAATACTTCATGAGGGCACAAAACAAGGGAACACACACTAAGAGCTTCTTGAAAACATTTTGTGAGAGACTTAATACTATGTGAATTTACTTAGCTTTTGAGTATAGAGAGGTATTTAAAGTGGAAAAAAAAAAGTCACTGGCTCTATGCCCAACATGAAAATACATACTTTTAACTATCTGCAATATATAATGATTCATAGAACTTTGGAAATTCTACTCAAAGTTTTCCTTAAGACTTGGAAATAATGCTCCTTCTCTCCTAAGCAATAACGCTTTCTGTATAAATACAGGGTTGGATTAATACTGCTTTTTTTTTTTTTCCCTCCGCTTTGTGCCAATGGAAGGAAAAAACAAAAACAAAAACAAAGAGAGAACAAAGAACTACAGAAACCCAATGGGTAAAGATGCAGGCTCTGCCCCAGCCCTGGGCTCTCCTCTCCTCCTTCCTTTGGGCTATAGAAGGTTCCACTTCTGTGTGGCAAAGACAAGCCTTTTGTGGCCCCAGAGAAATACTACCCTTCGGCGAGGTAAGGCACACAGCAGCTCCTCACCCTGTTAACCAGCATTGCATTCCCATAACGATGTCCATTTACCCAGTACAAGAGGAGCCAAATTTGGCAGGTGGAAGGCCCTCCTTTTCAAGTCTAATCCAGAATCTCAAACTGCCTGAAGAAATCCACATTTTTTGAAGGATTAAAAAAACCAAATCCCCTCCCCCCAAAACCCAACACCTATGTTCAAAATTTATGAGATATCCTTGTAGATTAACAAAATATTTAGGCCAGTGTTCTGTATTCTTATGGGAAAAGATTCTCATCATAACTCACTGGCTTAATTTTTTAATTTTAAAAATTTAGGAGTTTTTTTTATGTTAATCTACTATGATCAAACTTTTTTAATTGCCACAGATGTAGATGGATAGATTTATCTAGATATAGTAAATGAGAAAACATGCAAAAGGTTCGGTAGGTAGGTAGGTAGGTAGGTGTGGAATAAGGGTACTTCACAGCTGTGTTTTCCATGAGGTTCTGATGATCCAAATTTGATACTCAGATAACTGAGAACATGACATTCTCTCCACTTTAGCACATATATGCTGTATTGGCATGGCTTTGAGCTTAGACTGATCACTGACAGACACAATGTAAAGACTCTTTTTCTAGAAGTACCTATTGCATTCTACTCATACCCCCTCCCCCCCGGAAGTATCTGCTTTCACACGATTACACTAGTTACGGGAGCTGAGACCATGTGAAATATTACTTGGTTTTATTTCCCTTTGGGGTGGTCACATAATTTGTAAAATTATATTTCACTGCAGTGGTAAGGAATTTTAATTAAAAAAAAAAACATAAAGTAAGTTTTGCTCATAAAAAAGATTCCACCCAAATCAACAAATATCACAAGTCACTCTAGTGGCAAAATAATTTATTGCTTCCCCTGAAAGGAGATTAAAAATTTGCTTCCTGCTCTGGGCGGGGGCAGCCTGGGAACGGGGGCACACCTCCCTGGGAGCCCAGCTCCGCCATGCTGCCCCCACCAGCTGTGCTCTCTTCCTCCTCTGTGCTCCTGGGGCGCTCCATCCGTCATGGCACTCAGCCTACTTCTGCCTTATTTCATCATTGCACACCTTTCTAGTTTAGAAATAGCTGAGGCAAGTATTCAGGCAGAGATAGGACTTGAGGAGCCCACCTACAGGGTGCCCTGTGCTGATATAGGGGTCCTGCAGCAAAGGAGAAACGGCCCCCTATACTAAGGCATCCCTGAGAGTGGAGGTGATCCAGAAGCACCTTCATTCTCACAGAGCATGGGGGGCGCCGGTGGAGCTGAGCACCAGCATTCCTTGTGGACAACCTGAGCCAGTGGGAGCTGAGCGGGGCGATCAGCACCCACAACCATCTGCGTCAGAGCCTGGCAAGGACCTAGAGGACACAGATAGGGTCGGGGCTCTTCCTCCACCTCACCCTTGAACCCAGAGGCCATCTAGGGAAGGAGATGGATGGGAGGAACAGCCTTAATAGGGATTTCAAATTTCACTTTGCTAAATATTTATTCCAAAGTGGCTTTTTAACCCTGAAGAGATGAAGATATCTTTAATTGGTAAGATTAAAGGTTCAAAGCAGTATTTTGGCTGCCCTCTTGGCTGCCCTCCACCTCTACTCAACAGGGTGGAGGCTAGGGAAAATTTACGGATAATAAAATCAAGTGGCATTAATTTTGTATATTGAATGTGGTGAAATAGATTTTGACTCTGCTGGGGC